GTTGCCGACTTGCACAGAAAATGTTGCCGATGCAAGCATCTTAATAAAGATGATAAGTGTACTTATAAATGCAGTAATATATATAAGATATATACAAATGGTACAAAATTATAGAGTTTATACTATAAAATTAACATATTACAAAATAAATTAAAATTACAAAAAAATTAAATATTTTCTAATACAAAACATATTTTCTTGTGTTATTTTTATTAAATTTAAATATGAACTACTTTCTCTATGAAATATTCAAGATTTTCAATTTTTTTTTTATTTTCATATTTTCCAAATCAGATGGAAAATGTATTTTCTTTTTATGGCTGGCAACAATGATGCGGCATCCAATGTCGACAGTGCAGCATTGCTCGTTATGCACACGAGCGCAAAACCGAAGAACGAAGCAAGAACAAAACACCGAAGATGACGACATCCGACGCCCACACATGCAAAACCCGAAGTATAAACAGCCAACCAGGTGATGGCAGCATGTTGCAGAAGGTTCGGTGTTTGATAACTGCAACATGTTGCTGCTGGCTGGACACATACACTTTTTTGCGCTTGCGCCAAAGCCTCAAATTAAAACAAATTTTTGGCAAACACTCGAATATATTTTTTACAATACATATTTTTTTTATATTTCGTTTAATATTTTACATTTAATATATATATATCGATAAAAGCAAAAAGGAAGCAACATAGACGGAAATGGCGCGCCAAGCTTTTCACTTTTCCTTTGCAACACGCTTATACGCATGTTTTATTTGGGAATAAGTTTGATATGACCGACAAAATGTTGCACTTGTTATTGTATTTGAAATATTTAATTTGCGAAGAAAACGAAGCTTTGCTTTTACTTTTTTTGCAACAAAAGCGATGGCAAATAGTTTTATATTGCAAAAACAGACGTGTAAACGTGTAAGCAGACACACACACACAAACGACGCTCATCAGACATGCACAACTCCCCCGAGGGGCGGGAGGCGTGGCAGGGGTTAGCTTTGTTTGCTGTTATGATTTTTTATGATTTCAACAGATTTTTCGCAGGTCTTTTGGGGCAGAAAGGTATATGCGCATTATAAAATGTTTGTTTCGAAAAAAGTGTATTTTTTGTTTTAATGTTCAAATGTACAAAATATTGAATACTTGAAACACCTTAGAATTATGCAAAGATTTTTTTTTAAAAGAATAATGTTAAGTATGACTGACATATGGCTAACTGGCATTCCAGATGACCATGGCAATTGCATACCCAGATTTAGTTACGTAATGCAAGAATAATTTATGGACCATAGAACATGATTTAGGACACATGTCAACAGAAGCTAACAATACACTTGTCTTTTAAAAAGCTTAAAATGACAAAGGAAAAGGTGGGAACTAGAAGAACATTAATGTGTCAAATAATTTAAATAACAGTTCAATAATAAATATTTTTTGCTGGGTAACTTTGGGGTCTATTTTATAAATTTTACTTAGTTTTATCTTGAGTCTTGAAAAGCGTCTCTAAAATATCTCATCATAAATATCATGGAATTTGAAAATATAAGTTTTCAAATATATTTTATAGGGTATCCATGAGATGTAGTGCCTAATTTCCTATATCTACCATTCTATATTTTGTCTTCCCCTTCTTTTGTTTTGCTTTTTGCTTGTTTGTGTATTTCTTTCTTGGCTTAATTTTCGCCCTTTTTGGCGCTCGGCGAGAAAAGAAAAGCGTTGGCTGGCAAATTCAATTTGCATATGTGTGGCCACCTAGATGTTGCCCACTTTCCTTGTCCATTTGTGCAATGTTTTTTTTTTTTTTCCAACGAGTTCTCTTTTTGTTGTATTTTCTGGTACTCATGCTCGTGTGTGGTTGCTGGGCAAAATGCACATTGAAATCTGCTGCCATTTAACACAGTTCAGGCAAACTGAAGCCGCTAATTGACTCGCGCCAAAAAAGGAGCGGGGAAAAGTGCAAGTTGTATTTGCCAAATTTAATCAACAAAAACCCAATGCAGCCGCAAAAGCGCACAAAAAATATATATATGCCACAAGAAATACATGCACATATGGTTCATAAATCTAACTTTGAATACCAAATTACAAAATGGTCGACGGCGAGGGGAGTAATTACATTTCCCAACTATGTACATTGCATAATGATAAAAGCAGAGCCACACAAAATACAATTCAAGCTTCAAGTGCAAGCTGTGCACAGCAGCTCCCATTGACGCACTTTCGAAACCATCTGAAAAGCCACGGAAGTTTCGAATTTCAGAACGACAACAACGAGGGTAATAACAGCAAAAAAAAAAAAAAAAAGCATAAAAATACGAAGAGTGTAGAAAAAGCACATAGATAGCATTGAAAACCACGAATATTGCCTTCATTAACCCAAATGGCCAAAGGGAATCCGAACTGAAGAATCCGCCTCAAGGTCTGTTGCCTGATGGCCAAGAATTCGAGCTCAATTAAAAAATATGCATTTGTTTATCAATACAACAACAAAAATGGGAGGGCTTATTGTCGTTCATGGCACTCAACTGGTCTTTATAAACTCTGAAAGATATACAAGTATCTAGATAGTCTTTTAAAGTTACAAGTTTGGAACAGATTTTAGGTTGTGGAAGCAAACGATTAAATTCACTCAATTTATACATATCATAGTTAACATAATAAACTGATGATTAATATGTTATTTATAAGAATTCATGAAATTATAATAGTTTTTTTATATTAATTTTTTTTAACTGTATTATAAATTTACAAAATATTTCTTGATTATTATGTTAACTTTAAAGTACCTTATTATTTAAAAGAAATCGTGTAACAAAATACCTAACGAACTATCCCAACTAATTTCATTGTATCCCATTTTCCACCCCATTTTCCCAGCTCCCTTTCATTTTTTGGATGCCCTGTGGAGTGGAGTGTGGAAAATTCATTAAATTTCCAAGGACACAACTTTTTATTCGGGTGGCATTTTTTTTTTGGTGCGTGTGTGCTGTTTGGTGGGTGGCGACCTCTGACATTGCATTTAATCTCGTTGACAGCACTTAACACGCCCCCCAAAGTAGTAAAAGCGAGCTGGGAATCTGTGAGCAAGGATATAAGGAGTAAGGACTCGGGACTCGGGTTTTTGGGGTGGCTCTTCTTGCTCCCGCACTGCAAGTGGATTATTTAAGTTTATAATACGCTTAGGGGTAATTTTAATCTGTTGCAAATTGTTTTTGCTGTTAGCTGTCGACACAGTGCAGCTTCCAAAAAAACAACAAAAATTAAAGCACACACTCTCTATGGGCACACACTGCCTGTCAGACCCCAAATCACCATCTATATAACATATTTTTTTCTCTCGTTGCGCTCCCGACTTTTGTGGCATATTTCATGGATATTGTAATCTGGTTTTTTGGGGTGCTACAATTGCGGTTTCTGGATGCGTGGGTGTGAGCGAAGAAGTTGCCTTGTAATTTCACTTTTTGGTTGAAGCGCTTGTTTCGCCTTTTTGTCTCCTCTGCTATTTACATTTATGTTTTTTGTTTGCGCTTCCTTTCTCGTTGCAATTTGCACAGCATGAGGTTGGTTTGAAGTAAAAAAAAAAAAGACAAACAAAAAACAGATTGGGAGTGGTAAGCTGATGCAAAGTGTTCAGGGTCAATGTGTGAAACTTGAACACATTTCGGGAGAAAAACCGAAAAACCAGCACAGAAATCATTCAGATTAGATTTCTCAAATTTGAATTCGTCCAATCGCCTCAAAAATAATGCAAAATGTTTTTATTTATAGTTCCTCTTGAAGTTACAAAACCTTGTGAAAATGTTCTTAGCCATATTTAACTAGAAATTGCCAACACACATAGTGCATTCACATTATATCAAATGTTCATTAACAATATTCCGAAAATCCATAGAAATTCCGGAAATATTGCTCACTTTCCGTTTGCAATTAGATCTGAAAAGTGCCTTTAGTTAAACCAGAAACAAATAAATTCATTCGATTATGTGCCAAAAGATGCCGCCCGAAGGGGACGAATTGGTCCCGATGCATTGGAAATCCATTAGAATATCAAATATTTAGACCAATTGACTGCCTGCGAATGAAAACTTAATTCAAGTTGAAAGAGCAGAATAACGAGCAAAAGGCCATAAATAAAATACAAAAGATATTACAAAGAACAGAATGAACAGAATGGCATGTGTGGCACTCAGTGGAAATATTCGTTTATCGGGCCAATTAATATGCGGAATTTATTTGGCCATTACAGAGAGCATAGTTCTGAATGCGCAGATCGCAGACATTAGAACAATGAGATCACCGAGCCAAGAGCTCAACAAAAGGAAAACAATCTGAACAGAAACTAAAGACATTGTGTCCCAAACTTACTTCACTTGCTCTATTTGTTCGAAAATGGTTAAGCCGAAAACGTAATTTTTCGATATTTAGAAATCTTTTACCATATAGAATAGAGGGTAGAGTTTGGCAGACTCATTAGGAATATAAAGAAATCTTAAAATATCCATATGAGTTAATCGACGGAGGCACGGAAATTTCCTTCTACCCAATGCAGTTGAAATTCGTTTGTTCCACATGTGTAAATTATGGCGGTTCAAATTTCTAGAAACATTTTTTGGTCCTACTCTTATGGGCTTTGAGTTTATCACACATACGTACTGCTTTCTCTGCTTAAATAATTCATATTTTTCTAGGTAGCGTAGACATTTTCTGTTTTTCTCTATATTATGACTCATATTCGATTGAAATCAAAACCCTGATAAAAATTTTTATAACAATTTAGAGACCACAGAATAGTGCCTAAAACTTAAAACCATATTTTTTTGGTTTTCGAATAGATTAATTGCACAGTTAAAAGTATTTTTTGTTGTACTATAGGTATTTTTAAGTTATAGTGTTCTAATCCGTTTTCAGCCCGAATAAAAATGAAAGCTCCTAAATCCCCAAAATTAAAACACATAAAGAATAATAAAGCGAAATTAAGTGAAAGAATCGAAATAACTTACCCTCTTCTTGAGATTCTGGCTCAGGCTCTGGTTCAGGTTCAGGTTCAGGATCAGGTATAGGTTCGGGTTCGGGTTCAGGATCAGGTGATTGCTCAGGTTCTTCTGGCTCTGGTGCCGGCTGCTGATCACAGGCAGCCTCATCCGTCTGATCATCGCAGTCCGTAACTCTATCGCAGCGCTTTTCCAGCGGCAGACATTTATCGTCGCACTTGAACTGATCTTCAGTGCAAACTGAGGTACGCAACGTTACACAAAAAGAGATACGAAAATATAAATTAAAATTAAAAACAAAGCAATATAAAGCCAAATTAAATGAAAATGAACGAACGATCTGGACAGGTTTGAGTCTACAGTCTACATGATCAATTGAATTTAAGTTGAGGTAGGAGATGGAGCTGCAAAAGCATCAAAGAATTGCATTTTTTGGACACATTTTCGATCAGAATTATCGACAAATTGATTTTTCGTTAGCATGGAGCACGCGAATTCTTAGGCAGATTCTTAGATTCTTAAATAGGCAATGTAACAATATGTATATATCAATATTATGAGACCCCTTTACAAATTGGTTTAGTAGGGAGATGTGGGATTAGACGATTATGTCGAACAATCTATGATGAGTTGGATAACTTTTATTAGAGTCCTAGCGCATTTACCCGGTGCATAGGAACAGAATTCCTCGTCCTCGCCATCGGGACATTGTCGCACTCCATCGCATTGCATATCATCGCAAATGATTTTCCCGCTGTGGCGACAGGTGAAGGTGACATCCCCACGACAGTTGAGGTCATCGCCGGAGCCCTCCACCGGCACTGGTCTTGGCTGGTAATTAAGATCGATCGACATCGGATCGCCTTCATCTGTGAGGTCACAAAGAGGATTAGCGATGGTTCTTGGAATTTTCTGGGTGTCTTAGTTTCCCAAAGACAGACAGAGACAGAATTGTATAGACGGAGATCACAGAAATGAGACAGAGTGTGGTGCGGTGAATGGCATAAAGCGTAGCGTTCGATGATGAGAGACGTTCACAGAGGCAAGGGGTCACATGGTCAAGCACATAGGTCACGTTCTCAAGGACACACACTTAAAGGTCCACTCCGGATTTCATTTGATTTCTCGTTTCACCCAAGTAACTCTATATATTTAAATACCTTTCAAAATTACGTTTTTAAATGGCTTTGCTAGCTAAAACATTAACAGGATGTATTATTATGTCTGATATTACCAATTAATCCCTACAAATAAACAAAACTGCAAACATTCACTTTTAAATTTTGCTTTTCCCTTTCACTTTTCGGTAAAGAGTGCACCTTTTTTTTTTACAAAAGTACTTAGAGCTATTTTTTTTACAGTATGGTAACTCTAACGCAGTGACAATTGCACTTCAACATTTTGAGGCTAGAATAGTTCAAAATTTGTAAATAGTTAAGAAACTAACTAAGAATTAGACTGTACACATAAACGACAGTACCTGATAAAAACACACTATGAGAAAATAAAAACTAGAGCAGACCCACAGATTAGGTTAGCGTTTATATATAGTTATTTTTTTGAGGTTCGAGTGTTGCCGGGTTAATCACATTGGGGCAATCTCGCATTTTTCCGGTTCGTTGTAAATGGACAAACCTTTGGGACCGGTGGCTGATGGAACATCTTTGGGTTCGACTCGTATTACAGGGAACTTGTTTCTAGAGATCGTCAACACGGCCTTATGGGGAATAACAGTGTCTTCTGGGGCTTTTGATAGGTATTTTAGGGTTTTTATTTGGGTTTTTGGGTAAAGAAAGAGTTTTAATATCGTGATTCGAAAACCGCAAGCCGTTTTAAGAATTTTCAATTAATTTTAGATTTGAGATCACTTAAAAAGAAGTTTTGAAGTATATTTTCATCTCTTCGCATCTTTTTTCGAGGTCTTTGACTTTAAAAATATATCGTAGCATACTTTTTAACGCCTTTACCAGTGATTTCAAAGCTCTTAAAATTTTTGTCACAAACTGATATACAGTTGTTGGTTCCCAAAAGTGGGAATAAAATAATAATAATAATTGCACTTTTTTTTCAATAATAAAATCTACAAGTTTTCTTCCCTGAATTGGGAAATTGGAAGGGAGAGTTTTCTTTAAGCGGCATCTCACACCAAAGCAAAGCGGATAGTCGCAGGAAAAAAGAGAAAGGAATGTTGTTGACTTGGATCCTTAAGGACTCACCACTCAATTCTGTGAAGGAAAAGGCGTCATCGACAGAAGCACCCAATTGATCGATGCGCATGAAGTCATTCAGTTTCTGTTGCAACTTATTACCGAAGTCGGTTATAGAACTGGGGATCTCTATCTTGAGATGCACGCGAACCTGAAAGCTGTCTTCGGTCGGTCTGAGAAAATGATAAATACCATCAGAATTAGCCATGATAAAGATCCAAAGTAATATAAATTATCAAACTTACTCAACTCGCTCCAGAATGCTACGGATTTCTTGCTCCTCGTCATCATGAACATCGTAAGCGTTGTGGAAAAATCTGCGCAGATCGTCGTCTATAAATTTTTGCAGGTTCTGAAAGTCATTGCTAGCCCGATCCCTGAACTCGGTCGAATATGGCTCATTAACGACGAAGGAGGTACGATCTAATTAAAGAAAGATTTATTAGCTTAATAAGCTTCAAACTATTTTAAAAATTTGAGATTTATTAGTTAATTTATTCATTTTTTAAATATTTTTACTTAGAGCAAAATTCAGCTATTAGAAAGTTTACCCAAATGTAGCTGTTAAATTAAAATGTACAATTTAAATGCTAGTTGGTTCTAAAGAGCTCGCGGCTTAAGCATAAAAGCTACAAGTTTTAGAATTTTAAACTGGGAACCTTTTTAAAACAATTATAAACATAATTTGGATGAGTGACTTACAGATGGCGGTTTCCTCTATTCCGGAAGCCTCGTTCTCGTCGTAGAGATCGGCAGAAGGTGCCCGCTTGCGAGTGACGTCATTGGCCCGTTTGGCCAGACGCTGTTTCTCCAGCTGGCGTTGATGCTTTTCCTGTTCCCGCTTGCGTTCCCGCTCCTCCCTGTTCTGCCGGCGAAGCTCCTTTTGCCGATCATGGGCATTTTGGCGTTTCCGCCGGGTCCGCTCATGCTCCAGCTTCCGCTCCTGATTCTCGTCAGCGCCAAAGAGACTCTTGATTGAGCGGCCAACGCGATGGACACTCTGGGTAAACCAGTTACCTTTGGGCAAGTCCTCCTTCTTCTCCGTCTCCTCGAAGTCGTCCTTTTCTGATGAACGCATTAGATCCTCGCTCTCGAGGAAATCGTCGTCATCGTCATCGTTAGCCTTAGTGGCCCACTCGGTCTCGTTGTTGCCCTGCAACTGGTCGTCCGCCAATATAAAGTCCAGGTCATCATTGAAGGGCGTAATTTGCTAAAAGGATAGCGAACAAATAAGCCATGTTAACAAATATCGATAAAAATGGACCGCAAGCAACATAAGGTTTTAAAAACAGAAGGTCCATCAAGCCGAATAAAATTTATATTTTTTATATTTATATTTTTTATGATAAGATCGCTAGGAAGCATTCACAAAAACATAAGCTTTTAAATATACAAAAAAAAATGACAGGAAAAAATAATGTAAACAAAAAGCAATCAACAATCAGCGCAAACTAATTATGCGTTGAGAAAAGCTGCCAAGGCTCCCCCATTTCACCACACTTTTCCTTTACAGCAGCTTTCATTAGATGTTTTACTTATAATTTTCTAAGGAAAAAGAGCTTGCCAATTTGGTTGCTGTCCATGCTAAGCAAAGCAATGCATTGCTGCAGTTTTACGAGCACTGTGCCTTGGCTACATTTTCCCCACAATTACGAAAAACATAACATGGCTGTTGACTTTCACATAATTTGGAGCTGGGAAGTGTATTTTATTTTTGGGAGTTCTGTTATCTAAATAACAGATTTTGTGGGCTTACAATGAAATACATTTTGTTTTATAACGTACAATAAAAGTATCAAATAAGCCATTAAGCCCAGCAAATGCATGGAGTATTTCAGACTTTTGGCTAACCAGCATTCCATTCCTTATTATTTAGTTTTCCTCATTTGTGAGCCCCTTTTTATTATCCCACCCCCTTTTCTACTTAACTGTTTACTTCCGATCTATTTAAGTAGACTCTTTGATTGAGCATTGATTTCAAGTGTTAATCTATTTTCTTTCTTTTCTGTAATCGGTTTGGGCACTATTTTCTGCTTTCCCCAAAAAAAAACTTTTTGTATAACTACCCCTGCTCCTTTTTTTTTGTTTTGTTTTGAGTGGAAGTGTCAGAAAAAGACGCGTGCTACGTCATATTTCTTGTTGTCTTTGGCTGATAAAAAGCACTTGCCACGCATGTTCAACATGTGCCACACACAAGCAATAGTGGCCCACCTCCTTTTTGCTTAGCCACCCCCTTTTTTTGGGGACCTCTATCCGCCCCTGATCACCGCACCAAAAATGATCATAAAATTGATGTTCGATGCCCGAGGAATGCTCTTTTCTACTTCGCTCTTCCCACGTCCCCTATGCACCGAAAAAAAACAATCATACATAATTAATAAATGTGATAAAAATTTTAAAACGGTTTTGAATGATTTTCCTCAATCAAAATAAGATTTCTGCTAAAAAAAATTAAAAGGTCTGACACCACTCATTTTATTTAAAAGAATAAACTTTATTATTATTTTGATATCAAATATTTTCCTCCAATCCTAATTTGCTTATCTTGCGTACATTATTAATTAATTTATTAACATGAATTTTTGTGAGTGCAAGAGAGTGTTTGTATTTGTATGGGAACAAATGAAATGTGGGCCAAATGTGCATGGCCCGAGCCCCTTCTATCCTCTTATCGAAATACTTCGATAAACTAAAAAGATAATGGAAAGACAAGGGAATGGCAGATAGCATTTGGAGGTGGGAAAAAAGGTGGAAACATTAGGCATATGTACTATTTAATTTGTTAACACACAAAGACAGGGAAGCGTCTTAAAATTCATACAATTTCAAGTATTGGAATTGGATCATATTGGTAGTGAAAATTAATTAAATGTTCTATGTTTACTCATTGCAAATTTAAACTTTGTCTTATTTCAGTTATAAATTATATTTTATTTCATTAATTTTATTGTCTAGTATATGAGAATTAAATACAATTTTTAAATATTTTTGAGGTAGTTAATGGTCAAACAAAATATTCAATGTTGAAAAATCTTCAGTGACAAATTTTGCCGTTTTGTTATGGCTGCAGTGTGGTTTTGACTTTTAAGCGTTGTCTGCGTTTTGTCTACGCTGTGTCTGATTTTATTTTTTCAGGGGTCTGCGTTGTCGATAGGATAGAGAGGTGGTTAAGGAAATTGTGTGGTTTTGTGTGGTTTTGGGCTGAACGGCTGGCTTATGAAGCTGCATAGTCACGTGCCACGACTTCGAAGTTGGCCCCATGTTTTTCGGCAAGTTTTTGCTTGTTTGGTGTGTGTTACACATAATAATGCTGCCGAAACCAGGTCTTAGCTATCAATATCACATTAAAGAGTGCCTTCAATCGATTTGCAAGTTGGCAATTAGCTTGAATGATTAATTAACATCAAGTATACGCGGTGATTTTAGTTAAAAATTTCGAATTGTTGCCGTAGTTTGTTTTTTCATAAGTTTTAACATACAAAATTACTAAAGCCAAACGTAAAAACGTTAGAAACACTTAAGTAAAACAATATGAAGACCAAACCAAATTTTAAACAAATACCTAAATTGTTGATAAAATTAAAATTTATGAAACGATAAAACAAAATCAAGATTTTTTCTGATGACCGTTTTTAGCCTCGATTCCGACGAGTAGTTTTGCCGTGTATGCCGGACGGACAGTCGGCATGCTTGACACAGATTCCTGGCGTTTATTGTGATTACTCGAGTTGTTCGCTAATGCAAAAAAGCAGCATGGCCTACAGTGGCTCCCAAACTGTGCCACCCCACATCGCATCAAATGTACAACTGCTTCAAAGAAAATAGCACTTTTTATTTATTTTGAAAAGTGCAAATAACTCACATTGCAAATCGATCACGATTTTATGATCGTATTTAAGTTTTTAATATATTTTATATAAAATTAATTCTTATTTATTCTGCAACTTTTTGACTTAACATCAAAAATCAAATCAAATTTTCAGTGCTATTTTTTCTGACCCCACTGTGAATGCCAGATGCAATCGCAAATGAAATGAATTATTACGCATACGCAACGTGCGAACGGCGAAAATAAATAAATAACCTGGTGTGGAAACAATGAGAAATGTTATTTATGTGCCCGCCCAATTAGATGACAACGCAGTGTCCTTGAACCCATTTTTGCGAAATGCATCTGCATCTGCATTCTAGATTTATGCAAGAGAAAAGTGAGCAAAAACAAGAAAACAAACGCGGGAAAAATAAGCAGACAGAATGCCTGGCTACTGTCAATTGTCTCAACTTGTTGCTCGCGAGTGTGTGGGTGTGTGTGTGTGTGTGGGAGGGGGGTTTTCGAGGAAAGGGAGTGGGGAGTGGGAAACACCAAGTGGGTCAGTTTGGGGCGGAAGGTCGCCATTTGCACCACCCACCCCCCAATAAAATCTATGTGCGTGCATTGAACCCACAAATGGACAAGGCGAATTTTTAGATTTTCTACATTTATTTTTTGCCTGCCGGCGAGGCTCATTTCCTGCAAGACAAATTACACATTGAGACTGAGCCACTCCCCCTTTTTGGCCAGTCATAAATTTGGCGCACATATGTGTGCTGGCAATTTATTTTCATCATGTTCAAAAATCGCAGCAGACAGCCAGCCAATTCTCGTTAAATCGATCGCACACACATCTAGAAATATATATATTTTTTTCGAAAGGATAGGGTAGCTTGTAACCGAAACTGACAAACCCGAAAGAAAAAGTTATTGACTAACTGACTGACTGACTGACTGCGCACAATTTGTGGCCAAAAGGCACGCCAGACGGCGGGCGGTTATTCAGGGGGCGTGGCAGGGCCAAAAACTCTCAGCTCGCAAGCCGCAAAAGACCACAAAAAATAAAGCAAAAACACACACAAAAAAAGAGACAACACAAATAACAAGTTGGATATAGGATGCAGGTAAAAGTAAGGGGGAAGTCGGGATGCATTTTAAAAGGGTTTAAAAAAATAAAATGTTTTATATACTTATTATACTGTATACTTAAAAAAATACCATAAGCAAATGCATACAAAAAGAAATAATTAAAGGACATTTAGATTAACAAATTTGTAACCATGAATAAAAAATGTTACAAAAAATTATAGGACATTCAAAAAAACATCTAAGAATTTAAGTAACAGAACAAACTTTACCAATATGGAAACATAAATTTTATTATTCATAAATATATGTATAAATAGGTGAAATCGAAAAATAGGTATTAGTTTAAGATTAAAAGTCTGCAAATCACAAAATACTATTTGTATAGTAAATATAACCCAGCCATAAAGAGTATAAAGAATTAGGCAGAAACAGACACACACTGTCTGCAAAAAACACATGTGTGGCAGGAGGCAACTTTGTGTTTTGGCCACAATTATCACAGAGAAGCGAGACAGAGTGGAAAGCGGGAAAACGTAAAAGGAAAAGCTGGGGGAGGGGAAGTGGAGAAGGAAATTGGGGGTAGAAACATGTGAAAATTTGATTAAAAACTAGCGTCAAGGTAATTGCCTGGCAAATAATGCCAGTCGAATTCCTGTTCCTCGCCTTTGCGAAGGTAAAGCGCAGAAATTGCGCATACGCCGTGTGTATGGTATTTTAGAGAAGATTGGAGGTGGAAATGGACATAGAAATGGAAATGGAGGAAAGTGCATCGAGTGACATCAAGCTGAAGAATCTGGGTCTGTGGAGCAAGTGCAAAGCAATTGTCGCCATAATCCTCCGCCAAGAGAAGATTACGCGATGATGGCCGTCAATCATCATTCCGAGATGCAACCAGAAATTCCGCTGGGACCGATCTGGGAAAACGACCTGGTTGCCCGGGTACTTGGAACTCAGATTTATGTCGAGATTCCGATTCCGGACCCGAGAACCCGCTCAGCAGGAAATATTTAGTGCTGCCCTCTTGTGTCTCATGTTCTTAATTAAACTGTACGTTTTAGCAATTGCTTTGATTTAATTAGTTTTTCCTCATATATACATTTTTTTTTTGTTCTCCGTGGGCGTCAATGGAACTCGGGCGATGATCATCATCATCATCATCGTTTGCATTTCCATCTACATCAAAGTCCGATTTATCCACACACGGAATTTTCATTGAAATATATATGTAGGTTAGGGTTTTTAATTGGAAAACCAACTACCTTAATTGGTTTTTGCATGGCAAATGTTATGAGAGATATAAAAAGTATTTC